TTATAACATACAGTTCATATACTGTTTATAGTAACTCCTGATTGTGTCTAAGATGTCTACAGTAAGTCTTCTGCACAACAGGGTATTGAACACAACATATCCATAGTTTATCATCAATCATAAAAGCACATTTACCTTTTACCTCATGTTCTCCCAAACATATAGTTCTTAAGTATATACAAATGCCTAAGGAAATCTGTGATTGCAGGCAGAAGGTGGCCAGTATTATACAGGGTATGTTATTGAAGCAATAAGGCAACCAATAAGAGAGGTGATAAATTTTATTTTTCTATTACAACTTTCCTTATTATATAAGGTTTAAGTTAAAAAATCTCTATTCAAACTGATTGAATTTATACTTAATTTTGAAGTAATTTCATTGTCACAGCCTTTGAATAAGCCATAATTGAATCACCATCATGCTAATAGTTTACTCTTCATTTCTGTGTTCAATGGTGATGGCCATTAAGTCCTTCACTGCATCTATTTTTGTCCATAGTCAGTAAAGGTTCAATGAAATGAAATTAGTGAAATGAAAGTCCCATCTAAACAAAAAAAATCCCTTTATCTACTGTATATCTTTAAATATGACCTCAATAATTTGAACCTCAAAAAATTTATATTTTTGCAAATTACCAAATCAAACTGCAAAAGATAATACAGATATCTTTTGCCTGATCATTTGCCATAAACTCAGCTGAAAACCAGCTAGGCTACTAGTTAAATCTTTAACCTGGCTGCACTAATTGACAGCTCAGTAAATAAATGGGTTTATCCATTCCCAGAACCAGCACTTGTAACTGGAGCATGAGCTCAAGCTATAGTATCGGCCCTTTGTTACTCACTTACGCACAGGATTCTAGATGAGTTAAGGCAGTACAGTATTTCTCATGCCACATCCATTTATATCACCAGTTTTGTATAATGATTTTCTATAAAAGAAGTTGGCACACTACATCTCATTATGTTTTTCAGTATGATTTCCTTAGAATTTCTTGGCACACTTCCTAAAACATAAACACAAAAATAAGAAAGAACATAAGCATTTAGTGAAGTTTTTTGCATATTCTTCTAATGAACTAGAAGGCAAGCCTTGCAAAGCTTTTTATAAGTTCAGCGTGCTCTTGGTTTATATCTGAACCTAATTTAGTTCTTGGAAACAAGCTGTACAGTTTCTTCAGCTACAAGTAATATGCCAACAATAACACGTTTAATTTTCATTAATGGTTTTATCCTTGGGAGTTATAGAACTTGGATTGTTATCCAGCTAATACCAACAAAGACTAAACAAATAAGCATTTAACAGGGCAGTTGCAGTTGGAGCAGTAACCTTGTTTAAATGCCCCTAAGCTTTTCAGAGTTTTCTAAGTCTGCCTTTTTTCTTGGCTTAATGACTTCCAAGGAACCTATTTACAATCCAGCTCTTACTAAGATTAACCTCCTGAAGCAATCTGAGATGTAGAGGGCCCAGAAGCAGTTTCTGGATCTGCCATCACTATGCAGCAGAGAAATAATCATACTTATCATTAGCATGTACAGTACAGTACTGCATAATGTCAAACCAAGGATGAAAACCTTGTTGATTACGAAAAAGAAGAAAAAACGCAATTTATATTTACAGACAAGGGTCAGATCATTCTTAAATAAGACATAAAACCATTTTTTTTTCTTTTGGTTTGTCTATACATAGTCCAAATGTTATTTCTCTGTTTTTTATTTCTCTTATTGTAATTATATTAAAAATCCGGAACTACTGGTTGCAGATTAACATTGTTTTTGGAATGCGATGCTTGTAAGTGGAGGTGAGAAAAGGTTAAAGGTACCTAATGTAAACAATGTTTTACATTAGTACATTGTATAGCACTTTTAAATGATTATGAAATACATCTAAATCTGGTATTATTTTAGAACAAAATTGGTATTTGTTTCAATAAGGAAGAACCAAACACTGCCTGTGGTTATGCGAGGAAGAAATAAAAAGCCTAAGGCCCTGAGCAGTTATGACTATGCTTATTACTATATAATATATCATGTCATACTATATTTGACCTTAGTTCATACTCCCCCCAAAAAATAAAAACAAATACCCACCCCAAAATGGCAAGCAAACCTGGCATCCATGATGAGTCATATGGGAACACAATAGACTGACGAAGAACCCTAAAGAGAACAAGAAAACAAGGAACGTTAAAATACTAAAAGGTGTTAAATAAAATACTGAATACTGACTCACTAAACTGTAGAAAGAGTAGAAAGGTCTTTTCAATGAGGAGCACAGGCTGAAGGACAAGCTGGTGGATTGCAGGGCAACAGAATTTGCAATTTAAGGTTGACTGAACACTGTTAGTTTTTTCAGCTCCTTAAATAGATGGGGTTTTATGCTTGTATGATTCACATTCTTGTTATTAAACTATATCTAAAAGGGATTATTGATGAAACTGAATTGAAGACAGTATTTACTGACTATAACTACATATCATGCTACAGATTACAGACAACTAGTCCATGTTAACAAATAATCAATTGCCACTACAAAATTCTTTGAATATATATATATACTTTTTATACCAAAGGAACCTGAAGCGCTCTATGTATAGGAAGGGACCCATTTCATACACCCCCCGAAGTCCTGCACCCACTTGCTTAATGTGTGGCCAGCATAATGCATTCGCATCGCCATGGCACAGCAGATCATGTGGAGAAATGAGAAATTAATGCACCAATTTGAATTTATAGTAAATTCCAGAGTGAAATTTAGTCAGGATACCAGGGTTAACACCCCTACTATTTCAGAACTGCAACGGGATCTTTAATGACCGAGAAGCCAGGACCGTGGTTTAACGTCTCATCCAAAGTACAGAACAAAATACAAAAAAAAGTTTCATTGGATCACTTTCTCTTCATTTTATATTTAAAGTAAATCAAATAGAAATAAATTAAAGCATGCTTTGAATACCAAATGTACTCTACAAAACAAGACTTTTATGCTGCTTATTACTTATTACAAAATCATTCAGAATGTGATATTTAACAATGAGCAGATAACATGGAATTCGTCAGAAAACAACTGAATGAGATACTTGAATTTTTAAGCTACAAGGAACAAAATAAGCAAGATGGACAAAATAGTCTGTTCCTATTTTGTAACCTTAGCTAAATTATTACTACCTAAAAGCTTACATTTCCACTGCCTCTTTCTGGACTCCATGACTTAAACCATTTAAATTACCAATATAAATTGCAGTGCACTTCACAATAATAATAATTCGGCAATACTTTAAATTAAATTATTTACTGTATGCATTTGAGTGCACAAATTGAACTATTGAATGTCTATGTGAGCTGCTCAAAATACCATGGTAACACTGAGGTTCTGTTTTACACTGAAAACAGAGAAAGGGATTAAAAAACCATGAAGATTGCAGATACTGTCGGTGTTGTAAAATCACAAAATCAATGGACAGTGAACAATAGAATGACTTTATCAATTTTAAAGGAACAAGTAATGGGTTTATTCCATGCTGAAAAAAAGAAGAAAGAAAACAACGTTTCGGCCATGGAGCCTTCTTCAGGTGTCAAATTCAGGTGTCTCACCTGAAGAAGGCTCCACAGCCAAAACGTTGTTTTCTTTCTTCTTTTTTTCAGCATGGAAGAAACCCATTACTTGTTCCTTTGCAGCCTACGCATGCTGACGCAGCTACCCACCTGAACTACTTTATCAGTTTTACCAGACTTTACAGCTGTTTGAGAAGTTGTTATTCAATGGGAATACAGAACAAACATCAGTTAAAGTATTAAGGTGTGTTTCTTAGTATACTGTATATTGTCAGCAATACTTGCCAGTCTGCAATTAATTTACAACATGTTTTCCCATTTCCATTCTTCAATTTATATTATTACCACTAGCAATTTTGTGGCAATTCATATGGATATAAAAAACGAAGTAGCAATTTGATTTATACTCTTGGCATTCAGTCATTCATCTTAAAAGAGAGTAGAGGACTTTAAATTATAATAATTAAGTTAATACAATATTATTTATGAGTGTGTTTTAGGAAACTCATTGTACTTGACAAAAGTACACACAAAGCACAACAGAACTTAAAGGAATGTGAATAAAAAAGTTCAATGAATGGGCTTAGTGAAACCAAAAATGCCACATTAAAAACTTTAGAGAAAGATCTTTAAATGTTTTTTGATAATGTTGACAGTAATTTAAGGATGAGTTCCATTTATTGGGTCCTGCATAGCAATTTTGGAGCCTAGCCTTTGACTAAAAAAGACGGCCGGAATCAACAGAGCTAAGGTTAAGAGATGAGTTATACTCCTATACAAAATTCTTAAGATAATTTAAACCAAACCATACAGTGTTTTACATGAGAAGGGGAAGCTTAAAGTCCAATTTAATTTTATTCAGAAAATCAATGTAATTTACAGAGGACATACTGTAAGTTATAAGCCTATGCTGTAGTGTGTGCTATTTTAGTTAGTACAGAGGTTACTGAATTCTGGACGTAAAGAAGCCTGTCTAGTACCTTATAAAATATCTGGTAAGTAAGGGATACTGCAGACTAATGCTGCTAGAATAAAAGCATGTATTAATATTTCAGCATCAGACAGGCAGAGCATGGGTCTTTACCAAGCTTGGGCAGGGGAAAGAAAGAAACCCTAGTGGTGCTCTTCAAATGATAGTATGATGGTAAGTTTCTTCACAATAAAAACCTACAGTCCACAGTCTGTCTTAAGAACAGATCTTGTTCACTGTGTTACACATTAGTTTGCCTACAAGCTGTCATTGCTAGCAATAATTGGCAAGTGAAAATCTACCCTGAGGGTCCATTGCCTTACCTGACTTTTGAATATATTTTGGGATAGTATAGACGTGGTCGTGTCAGATTTCAACATTCAGTTACACAGCAATCATCCGGCTGAAAAGGAGTCCTTTCTGGTTTTTTTTTTTAAAAGAAACTTTCCCCTTGCTTTTCACAGCTACAGTATGCCTCTGTACCTAGTGCTTTAGTCAATGGGTCGTCTCTTAACGCTGATTGGATGGTTTCAGTTCATTCCGAAGCACAAGGAAACAGGAAGTCTTCCACACATGCAAAGCACAGTAAGTATGGCTGTAGGGGATGTTTTTCTTTCAAGATTTATAAAACGTTTGAAAGACTGACTTTTAAAGGACGGCTTCTGTTTTAATGTGGGTATAGCACACATTAGCTGCGGTTTAAGCACATTTATTATTGTTATCGGCTTTCCATGGAGTGGTACAGTTTGTGTTAATACATTTTGACACAATTGCCTATGTACTGTAAGTGATTATGGTTTAACTGAATAGTTGTGAAACATCTTTGTACCATACTTTTACGATACAATGGTAAAGTTTCCTTTGCAAAGTTAATTGTACCGATTGGTAACTAGTGTGACGAGCTTGGTGAATAAAGTTATTCAAAGAACAACCCAGAAAGTTACGTAATTGCTAATAATCAGTGAATATTTGTTCGAATTACCAACCTATTTAAATAATTCATAATTATATTGGAATTATTTTAAAGAGCGCTTTGATTCCCCGAGAGCGGCTTTAAATATAACAGAGAATTCAGTTTATCCGCCTCCATCTTGGAGACGCGCAGCGTCACCACTACGTACAGTAGAGACTACGTAGGTAGAGAAGTGAGGAATTGCTTCACCGGTTCATTTAACGGTTATCAGTTTAACGCAGATTTGGCAAAACCCAGTGTGGAATTTAGCCTCCTATCTTGTTGCATTGAGCTCATCATAAGCATTTAAGAAGTGTCTGAAATCCAAACCAATAATAAAGTTTAAAAACTACTGTATAGGAGACCATTCAGCACATCTGTCCAGTTTGATTACCACTAACTAATGAATCCCTAAATCCCTGCCAGTCATTTCTTGAAAACAAAAAGGCTTGACAGCAAGACTTGGTTGCTTAGCCCATACTCCTGCAACCCTTTGTGTAAAGAAGAAACTCCTCTTCTTAGTTATAAGTACATGCCCAAATAGTTTGCATGTGTGTCTTTGGGTTTTTGTTTAACCGATGATTCTGAAATTTGTAATCAAAATAAAATTCACAAAAACAAAAGCAACATATAAATTGTAGTAAACCAAAGTGACACTATTGATACATGATCCAAGCTTTTTACGCTTTTTATTTTACTCTTTGTAGTTGTAAGTCAATGTCAAAATTGTTAAAAATTAAATACAGCTATTAATAGCTACCCAAGGAGCTGTATGAACTGATGTCTTAAATAAGAAAAGTAAAATAAATGTAGTCTTAGTACTCAGTATTTATTTTGTTGTGACATAATTTACCAATCATACTGAAGGTGAATTTACAAATAGGCCTACAACTTATAAAGCTGATTTCAAACACATTTGACTTGTAATTTTTGGCAGATAATTTTTAAACTTGAGAATCTAGGCTATTTGGATTTGTACTAGGAAGAACTCCCTGTATGTTACTCTACAATGTCTATTAAATGAGTACTGTAATGAAATACCCAGCAGCTCTTAGGCTAATCTGGGGAAGAATAACTATTCCAGACCCTGTACAAATAAAAAAAAATCAAATAATAATAATATGATTTTGTTTATACTTATATTCAATGCAGAGTGCACACAATACAAAGATTTTGATTGGCAGTCTTTTTCATTGTACTGTATTTTCTGCACACAATAAATCTACTCAGCTTTCTGTTTTTCAAATTAAATTGTGGATATGAAATCTTGCCAATTATCAAAAAAATGTCTCTCAGCAATTGGCAGGGTAGCCTCAGAGTTCTGTTGTTAATTCCATGGTGAGAGATACTAAGAATATGATTAACCCTGAGGGTCATTGCTTAATACAATTATTAATGATTGATTCTTTTTATCCTTGAAATCAATATAAGAAGTGAAATGGGCTAGAATATACTTGAGTTATTTTTCTTCTATCCTGTTATGTGATTCTTTTAGCAGGTTAGGATTGGTTTATCAAGATAGGGATTATTTGAAAACACTAAATTTACAAATAGTATATCAACTTTGAGGAACTTATCAAGTGTACTTCTGTTTGGCTGGAGACACCAGTCTTGAACAATATGATATCCTCCCTCTAATAGTGTGGGATGCGCAAATAATTGATCTGCCTGGGAGTACTGTGACATAAAACAACTTTTTGAAAGTGTACAAAAGGCCTTAAGGGAAAGGGGAATGGAAAAACTGCATTGAGTGGAAGCAGTAACATTAAACGTTAAAACACCTTGCATAGATTCCTTTTCTGGGAGAATTTCAAAAATACAACCTGAAGGAAATAAACTTTAAATTATATATGATCAGAAGTGAAGTATGTGGTTCCACTGTTTTTCCTCCTGATCTTTATATTCTGTATGAGCTTTAAAAAGTTACAGTGCAGTGAAAGTCTGTTATACACTAATGTACTAAAATTAGGTGAATACAGACTTTTTTTCTTAATATTTGTCTTTAATCAATCACATGGGTTGTATCCTTGTAGATTTGTGATTTGAGATAAATGAGTCTTTTGAAAAGCGGCACTAAGGATGTAGATACAAATGTGAACTTGAGAATTACAATTAAATGTGGTGTCTTGAGGTTTGCCTGGTGTATAATGCCTCATGTTTACAAATAGTCATTCTGCCAGTCAGTTATTCATTGACTTGGAGCAATCAAGAAAAAGGGAAACCATGATTTTGTAGAACAGGGGTCTTGTATTTACTTTTTTAAGGTTGGATCTTCTCTTTGTTGGAAAAGACAAAGGCCAGATTTATTCTATGGGAAGTATTCCTCCCAAACTTAATATTTAACACAGTTTTCTTTAAGCTTCAAAGTAGGGGTCTCAGATTAAATTCCTGGAGGGCCCAGTAACTTTTAGTTTTTGTTGCAACATGAGTAGTGAATTAAACAGTTAAACTAAAAGTTTTCTGTGTTAGATAAATATAGGACTTTTCTAGGTTAGAAGTTAAAACATTGTCTTCATTAACATTACCTATTAAATACCTGTTTTACATATAAAACTCTTAGAGTTTTATTAATAGCATTAAAATTATGCAGTTAGTTAATTCGAGTATGTAACTGAGTGCTCCTGTGAAAACATAAAGCAGAAGGCACTAGGTCATTCAGGAAATGAGAATTGAAGACCCTTCTTAAAAGTAAGACTCTGTTTTGGGAAAACAGGAGAAATAAGTTTGACTCTTGTCCTGCAGGTAAATGCAGCTAACCTTATTCTCACAAATTAATGTTAAAGAAGTAACTTTCTCAAATACTATACTACAACTTGGGTGGCATTGAAGCAAAATATGAAACTTGCCTTTTGAGAGGTTAAAGTCACAATGAGTTGCTGTTTTAATGTAAATATTCAGAGTTCTCCCTTAAAGTGGGAACATCTGTAGTTAGGATGGGAATGGGAGCTCTGTTTTGATAAAATCTGAGATATCTGTTATCTTCCTACTACTGTATGGCAAATTTTAGATATTAGGCTTACAATGTTAATTAATACACAAAAGGTCAACATACTTAAAGTAGCCTGTATCTGTTCAAATATTTGGCTCAGAAGCACTTCAATATGTCCAGTATTCAACAAGACATTTTAAAAAATTCAAATGCAGAAGGTGACCTTGAGGACAGCTGTTAAAGGTTGATGTTTAACTTTTCAATGCTGGATATATTATTTTTTTGTGTACTAAAATTCAGTTTGGGAATGAGCCTTGAACAAAGAGTCCACGTCATCACAAATCAGTGCATCCTTCAGCATGCAAAGGAAGGGAAGTAGGTTTGCATTTCCTCTGGTGTAAAGGTTATTTAGCACCTAGTCCAAAGCCATTAAAAACAGTGTATTTTTGCCTATATGCATGTGTGTTATTTGTACAGGCCCTGGGATGAATTGTACTGTAATTTTTATCCCATTGAAGATCAAAGTGGCATGTACAGTGTGATGAGAGAAGCTATCAGCTTTCCATCTGTTGATTGTGACTCAATACAGATGATAGCTGACCTGCTGAACTCTCAAATTCCTGTTTGTCAAAAAAGAAAAAGAAATCCCTGTTTTATGCAGAGGTTTTGGTGTCTCTGGTCATGATCTGTGCTCTAATTTGAAATATAATTCTATCATTATGTTTTTAACTGAAGTTGCCTTTTGTACTTCAAGTTTTTTCTTTTGTTTCTGTTTTCCTCAAAGCTGTGTTACTGAAAGGAGGATCCATGGAGTCCAGACTTCATGTGAAAGTGAGTAGTGGTGAAAACATATTTTCATACAAGTGCTAATGAAAAAAGCAACATTACAAATGAGTTCACATATACAGTAGCTGGGTACTTCCCCCTGTGTGCCTGGCAGTTATTGTTTGGAAACTAGATGACAAGATTGATGCTGCATTGTAAATCACTGTAGCTCTGTCATGCTCAGTAACAGGCATCAGTGGACCTTTCCCCATCACATATCTATCTTCCACAGAATGGAGATTAATAGGATGGTGCTGTATTCTTAGATTTGTTGAGGGCATTTGCTTCTTGACCTCTCGTAAATAATTAGATCTGTTCATGAGCTGTTATTCGTTTGGCTTTAGACGTATTGTAGTTTGAGACAAAAAAAAGTTTTATGTATTTGTGCATAAAACAGTGTCACGCTGAAAAGAAAAAAAAAGTGTTGCGGTGCAAGATACATTTAAAAACTTTGGTTGACTATATTTTATTTCAGCCACTGGTTGGAAAAAAGTTGAAAAGGGCAACCTTTAAGATGTTTATTGTCGTCTCAATTTCTTTTTTAGAATCAAAAACAGAACTTCACACTTCCTTCCCAAACCTTTTTGTTTCTCAAAAACTGCAACTAATACCTTCCTTTGTAAGACAAATAAATGAATGAATATAACATGTAATGAAAGCTCTGAAACCCTGCTATGATATACAGTACAATGAAATAAGGATTATCTGAAATTGCTGAAATTGTCTATGTTGGAATAACTGGAAGACTAATGTAAAAAAAGGTGCCAAGTGCCATTTGAATAGAATCAAGCCAAAGTCTGAGTTGTAGTATACAATAAGATGTTCAGAAGATGAATAAAATAATTTATGTAAAAATAAATTTCAAGTTTTATGTTTGTACAGACTTTAGGAGTATTGTGCAATCCCTTTTTGACATGCTGCCAGTGTCCTTAAGTTCCCAAAGAAAATAAGTGTTTTAATTTTTATTTTGAAATTGAATAGCTTCTATCAAAGGAATATTTTAGTTCTTAAACATTTTTTTAATTTTTATACTCCGTGCATCTCATGTTCTTCTGTTTTTTGGTGGGGGGAATCATTTAAATTTCATATCTGAGTCTGCATCATAAAGTAAACTGCTAATTGGGTGGAAGGTTTTATTCTTTGTGTAATTAATCACAGAAGACAAGTTTCATAGTTGCCTTGTTAAAAGGTATTATAATATCTGCTCTAACAGTTTGTACTGTAAAAAAACAGCACAGAGCAAAACATAATCAAAGGCTTAGGCTCTAGGGCCTTACAGTTATTTTTGTTTAGACAAAATTTAGTTGTTACGGATCCAGGGCTTTTTTGTATTTATTTTCTAAAGCCTTCAAATCAGTATATTGTTCAAATGTATTGTTGTGAGGTGGTGTGAGGTGTTGAAAATGAAAAAAACAACAACAGATTTTGTTACATCTATTGCAATCAAAACACCAGCCAACTCAGACATATTTTATTAATGTCTGTTTGTAACTTTTGAAGATCTCGCAGTTTAACAGGTAGAAAGAATCTAGCAACCGACAATGTAAATGTAAATTATTTTAAATATAATATTAAAAGGCTTCAAAGGTAAAGAAAAACATTACAGGAAGAGTCCTTGTTGATATAAGAATAGAATTATACGAATTACTGAACATCTCTGAGATAATATTGATATCTTTCCCATTTTGATGTAGAGTATGGTAAAATCATAGACACTTGATAAAGTATTGAATAATTTTGTGTTTGTTTTAATATTTTGAAATGGCAAAATTGAAAAGAGGTCCTTTTAATTACATATTATTTTAAATGTTGTCCCTCTATTTTCTGATAATTTTCACAAAACATTCATATGCTATTCTTGTCTTACATTTTAATAGGGTCAATTTACTTTAGGGCCTTTTCTTAATTTTGCAGTACAATTAGAATTGAATCCATTCCTTTGCTCATTAATTTTCTTTGTTTTTCTGCTCGCTCATCCTTTACATTTTAGGGCTAGCTGCTTTAGTATTAGAGGATGATTGATAGCACAGGAAAGTTTCTCTCTGTAGCAGTTCTGATGTTTTGCATTGCACTTGGGGGTCAGCTTCTCAGCGCTGAAACATGATTTATCCAATGTCCCTGCCACTATCTGAGATAAAACTGCACTTTTATTGAATCTGCCAGTTATTGTGATTTAAGCTTTGGCACTTCTCACAAATACTAAAATTACATTGATACTTTTTTTCTCTATTATAATAAAATGATAAAAGTAATTGCGCAAATATAGATATAACTGCAAAAGCACAATAAAATTAACCAGAATTAGCCTGGCTTGTCAATGAGAAGTATTCATGATTTGAAGTACCGCAATAACACGGGTTGATAATATTATAGCTGGGAGGTACGTTATTGCTTTAATGTAATAGTGTTTGATATTTAAAGAGAGACTGTTATAGTTCAGTTGATAGTGCTTTTGAAATTAAGTTGCAGTGATTCTAATAATTGCAGGCAATAATGCATCATAAGTGCAATATCTTTTATTATGTTAACACCAATTGCATTATCTCGTGTTTGGTTGGCTTGTGCTTCACCTTTGCTGTGGCAGTGGTTATGGGTTTTATATTACTGAAGAATTTACCTTGAGTTACGTTGAAAATAATAAATTTTGTCTTAATCTGTCATCGTTCTATAAAGCACTGGCCTCCCAGTCCTACGTCTGGCAATTCCCCTAAGTAATATTTGATTATGATGTTTGCCTAAAAAAAAAAAACAGTTTTAAAATGTCAGGATAAAGGCAACATTTTTGTTTCCTGAACTTTGAATTACATATTTCCCCAGTATTTAAACATCTAAATGTTTCTAACATGATTCGGTATTGAACAAAGAATATTGGATGTGTAATAATAACAGTCTTGGATGGTATTCAAACTTCCATCTTTTGCTGAAATATCTGCATTCCATTGTATCCAGAAATTATAATTATGCTCTGTAAGTTGTTTGTTTTTTATTTTCTAAAATAAATTATAAGGAACACTTGAAATATAAAACCTTAGTTTAGATTCCTGTGGTTTACATTGTTTTTTTTCATATTCAAGCAAAACAAAACAGTACTGCTCAAACCTCAGTTGATGAGGCATAAAACATCCTAGTGTACTATGAATTACTTATAAATACAAGTCATAAGCACAAATGTGTTTTTTTTTACATGACAAAGTATTTTAGAAATAATTTTCTAAGGGTGAAAGACAAATGTTCCTTGTATTAATTTATTTGTGCTTTATTTCTTTGTTTAAAAATAAATTAGTATCCTAATTTGATTTTTCAAATACGTTATCATATTAAAATAAGTTGACAAAAAATATGTAATATATTAAAAAAGGTCTACCCAAGAGCTGTAAAAGTACTTATTTCTAATCCTTAGAATTCTACATTGTGCTGGAGTAAAGTTTTGTCATATATAGTCAATAGTATATAGATATTTTTGTAATATCCAAAGCTAATAAAACATTCTGTTAAAGTAAATGTTAATGTAGGCAAAAAAAAAACTCTAATTAGTCATCTAACAGCATCCAGAGAAAATATATCAGCTAGTTAAACTGCACACAGTGCACAGTAGGACACATAGCAAATGAATGGTTACTTTTGGGTGCACACATGTTCCTTCTGCACACAGAAATGTATTTTGGGAAGGCCCTGTCTTCCTCTGTGCTGTACTGACTCACAGTCATTAACACTCTGCTTGGCTTGCTTCAGAAAACAGATTGGCGTTGATTGGGCACAGGGAGGATTGTGGGAGATTAATTGACATTAATGAAGCTGAGTGAAACAATAACATGGAACACAACCTTACTACTACTGGCATTTATTTTATCAATTGAGGCTAAACCTGTGATAAAATATTTTTTACTAGGCCTATAATAAACCAAGGATTGCTGCATTTTTTCTCTTCAATACAATATAGTAATGTAGTTGTCCTGATATCATGTAATGTGTATGAAAGGAATGGTGTATTATTTTCCATAAATTATGCTTGTTCTGGATTTAAACAAATTCTCTTTTGACCACAGATTTATGGTGTAGACCTAAAACTTCACAGATCCAAAAATTAACTAGATTGTAACAGAAAAATAAATATTCTGGCTAGTTTGTTGCAGCCTGTATCAGTTATAAATATGTCTAATAAGTAAATTCTAAAAATATTTTAAAAAACATATTTGTTTGACAAATTGGTTAACAACCAGGAACTTTTCTTAGTTTACAAAATGTCTCCGAGGTTGTTCATTTCTTTCAGCATACAAAAATAAATTTTCCTTCCCCATACAGTTAACCTTAGACTAATCATCCAGTTTTACCTGCGGTTACTTATACGTAGCTTGTAGCTCAAGTGAAATGTTAGGAATTACTGTTACAATGCAAGCATACGCTTAGAGAGTTCTTTTATAATCCCTTGGACTTCCTGTGTGTTTCTTTTAGAGTCCGGGGACATAACAGAAATAATATTATACATTCTTCTACCTAACTGATTGTCTCAACAATAAACTGCTTGAATTTTAGACATAATCTAACTGTGAGAAAACAAAAAGCTTTATTCAAATATTGGAGCCGGAGTTGAAAAAAATACAATTTTACTGCTTAATGTTTAAGGTGTTGTAAAAGTTTTGCATTTTTGTTTGGAAAAATAATTACAGAAAGTTTATGCTAGGAGTCTGTTAGATTTAAACTAGCAAAGAATGGCAATGTCAGCTTTAGGTAGCCCTCAAAACATGTAATCCAAGATAAAATATCAACATCTAGCAACATCATTGGAAAATATCAAATGCAAGGCAGAAGTGAGCTTTGCCTATGCTCTACCTGGTGCTCCGACTACCAGGAGAAAAGCAAAACCCTTTTGCTAATGACCCTGCTAAGGGTTGAGACATGTGATTTACAGGGAACCTTGGCCCTATAAAGAAGAGAATGCCACAGAGGCACGTCTTTTTTTTTTTCGAAGTCATGTAATGGGAGCATGCCTGGAAAGTTGGGCTCTTCTGTATAGAACATTAAGTCATAAATCATCCATACACTCTCACCAATAAATCTTTTGCAATGAAAACCCTTTTTGATGCTCATTTGTTATTAATGACAAGTAGGACTTAATTCTGTTTGCTAACAATGGTGTTCCAATTTTATACATAACATTTAACAGTATAATGAGACATCAGTATTCAAGCAGATTCTGTGGCTTCTGTGGGCAAAACCACTGTAGACAGCTAATGCTGTTATGTGGATGCATTTGCCAATGCAATAATCAATCTAGTAAAGGTTAATACAGAAACTAGTGATCCAACATATTTTTGACAGGTGCATTCTTTTATTCATCTGATGCGGAAACCTTTACAAGAATTAAAACCATCTTCTGTGTTTGTTCCATGCAAATGACTTGACAGAATTTCATAAAGTCAATGAAAAAATAATCTTTCTGTAAAGGCTTTTTATAAACATACTGTAAGTTTCGGAAACTGGCTGTTTCTTCAAACCTTTCGAAAAGTTTTAGTCACAAACTCTTTCATGCAATCTGTGTGTAAATTTTAATCATGTGGATTTCAAAATGTGATTAATCATTCATGCTACCGTTTTGGATTTTGGATTTTTGTTTTCATTTTTAAGGTTAGTCAAGCTTCATCAACATACCAGTGCTGAAGACCAGACAAAGACGGATTGTATCAAACTAACAGTCGTTTACATGCAGTTGGCTGAACTGGAGCAACTTCACTGCAGGGAGAACTGGCTGTGCAGCCAGCTGCCCTGTGCCACTCAATGTGATTTCAGTTAAGCAGCCCAGGCAGTTTGCCATAAAGCAGTGAGCAGGCTTGCTTATTCTTGTTACCTGTTTGAAAGAAAGTCTGTTGACCTCAGATAGAGAAAGGAATTTTAAAGTGAATGAAATGAAGCCTGTTATTTGATGTATTTTCTGAGATGTGACCCATGTAATCGTTTCATGTTAAAATGGCATTGTCTTCGGATATGTGCCTGGCATGCTCCTTCTTCCTCTCTCTGGCTTTCTTCTCTGTCTGTGTAAATTGTGTCATTCCACTGTAACTAAGGTCCCCAGTTCAAATGATTCAAATTATTAGTGTCACACATATGGACTCAGTAGTAGATTTACTCCTTCTTCGTAAAAATAACCACTCAATTTTGGTTGAACAGGCAGAGCTAATAGTTTCAAAGCCTGTATTGTTTTAGAAGCTGTAGTTACAGTTTTGAAGGTCCTATGGCTAATTTGCTTTAACTGGTACCATCACTAGGCATTTACATATCCTGATAAATTGGGCATGCCAAGGACCACCGTGCCAAATTTATCACTATGCCTAATCAAGCAGCAGAAGGGAGAAAAAAACGAGTTTAATCATACATTGTACCTTTGTACTCTATTGTTTCAGCTATTTCAGTTCAGGTTTAATCTCTTTGTGTGTACTGCTCTGCAACACTGCCATTTAATTGTCTCACTTCAGAAAGCATTTCAAAAACAGATCGCTCATGGAACACAAGTGGTGTTAGAGAGCTCTCGAGAAGCCCATGATCTGGTTTCTCTCCATGCCGGGGATGTTGTGTGGGTTACAATAAAAACAAAGCTGGGGAAAATTAGTGGCTTGCTTATCTGGGGCTCTTCCAGTCAAACAGCTGACATTGATTAAATCATTGCCAGTTCAGGGATGCAGTAATTTGCACTTTGAGCACATAACAGCCCTTAAGAATTGTGAGAATTGCCCAGGAGTTTTTTTATAACCCAAATTCAAATTTCTACTACCCTGCCTAGCATTTCTTTTATATTTTGAATAATTACAGGAATATTTTCTATAACTAGTGGATTTGATGACTGAAGATGAAATGTCTGTTGTATTAAGCAAAAAATGTTATTCCATAATATCATATTGGACACTGATTTTGTCCTGACTTGAAAAGTAGAATGTATAATACTTAATGTTTTGCCTAACTTCCATGAAGAAATCAAGCAGAATATTTTGATAGAAATGATGGTGTATGTTAAAAAGACATAGAATCTTCTCCCCAATAAAACATTGAAATCCTTTTGAAATGAAATGTAAAATAAACCGGGAAAGATGTTTATTCTTTACTTAACATTGATTATTTTTCAGTAAAGGTATCTCTTGAAATAAAATTAAAAACAAAACCTGTATGGATTGATTATTTCCAACATCTATTTTGGTCATCAAAGAAGCTGTGCATTATTGCAGTTGTTAAGAACAGAAAAACAGAATCCCACAGGATTTGCACCCCATGGAGCAAATTTAATGCTAGAAAAACATCCTGAGCATCTAGAAATGACGTATTGAAAATAATGTTGTTATCAGGGGAATTATTCACCAGACAACGGGACTGACTTGGCATTGTTTTCTCCATTTAAGTGATAAAAACTTGGCAGAATTTACTGGTTGAATTGGCATAAATCATTTCTCTTTAAGTTTAAAGAAAAAAGAGTGTTTGCTTGAATGCAATCATTATCTTTTAATTTTTTTAATTAATCAAATCTGTTTTTGTGTGAACTTTTATTTATGTTGATGTGATGTCAAACTGATAGAAGTTTCTTCTTTTTGCCATTACCTGTTTTTCTATTTCAAGGGAGAAATCTAACTCCATTGTCAAATGTTGTCTTTATTATAGGCCCCTTCCCCAGATTCATGCTTTCTTAAAGTGTGAAATCAAACCTTATGTATGTAAGTGTATACCTTACTGCATGTACAAGCACCATACATCAAACTTACAAGTGACACTTGTAGACAGTGCTATAGATGAGACTTGGGATTGGCTTTTATTAATTATTTAATCATGAACAAATCAGCTGAGAATTGTTTGAATTTAGTTCTTGGCCTGTGCTACGGTATACTTGCTATACGAATTCAAAGTCATTTGTGTTAATTCATTTGCGTATTTCCATAAAATACTGTAGCTTGCAGAAATGCGTATTAAGATTACAGAAATGTGCCTAGTTAATATTGTTTTGTTTTTGTGCCGCTGCATACTTTTCCATGAAGTAACACCATTTTCCAATCATCTGAGCAAAAATAAACCTGTTTTTAGTGATAAATGACATACGCAATATTTTCATGCATCTGATACCACTACAACTATCATACTTGTAAATGAATACTGATTCTTTGTTTACTTTTTTCCTGGTTTGTCCTTTGTTTGTACAAAAGTACATGCAACTAAGATTATCCCTTGGTGAACCAACTTAAAAGAAAATCTTGTTGCATTAAGTTATGGGCCTAAAATGATTTTTCAGCCACATTCTTGATTGATCTCCATTAGTGTTTAATTAAAGGGGAGCTGAAAAGTCACCATGTTCACAATCTCTTATCTGTACACATGCTCCATTAGGAACCAATGTAGACACAATTCATATAACTGCTTTGTCACAAAGAAATCGACCAAATCAGCCAAAAGAAGATAGATAGAGTTTCCAGTATTTTGCTTTAGAAGGTTATAATTAATATCTTTTGAACATGCTGATGGGTAAAAGAAGTATCCTGAAATATGTCAAATAAGAAAGTCAATAGAAGTTAAGGTTAGGTCCAATTGCACCACATGCTTGAAAATTACTGTTCGGAAGAAGAATGGGATATTACATGTCTAGGTTTTTAATGATCAAATAAATGCATTATAACTCAATCCATATGCTGTCAGCCTAGTAATTTATAAGTTCTTAGTTTGAGCACTGCAGCATAAAGGAAAAGCTATCAGTAATGTTCAAAAAGTTTCCATTTTTAAGATGAAAGAAAACTATGTTGTATGTTGATTTGTTGGATTTTATATTTTGCACATGTATTTTTTGCTAAGGGGTCTTAGATTAGCCAACAACCTTAAAGATGGAACTCCTTTTCTTCACTTAAATGTGTTGCGGTCTTTTGGCCAGAGCTCTCAAATGAAGAACCCAAGTCAGTGCAAGTTGACTAGAGTCACATTGCTGAGTCCCCTGGGAAAGATTCAAGCTGCTGGATGTGGAAATGGTGTGCACTACATCCAACTCCAAGAGGATGCTGTACCTGCTGAAAGGTAGGCAAGAAGCTTGGCAATGATTTGATTAATAAAAGTATGAAATTTACAGGCAGAAAAGAATCTATAGATGTGATGAAGTGGAACATTTCTCATCAAACTGTGAAAATTTTTGCAGATCCCTGAAGAAATATGGCTCAGGGAAGTTCCACCAGTGCAAATATGAGACTCTCTAACACAGAGTTGAGCTCAAAATGAGAAATTTGATGGCATGCACAGTGTGTGTCGCAAACCTAATTTCAACATCTAAAAGTGGATTGAATACAGTCTTTCATTTTGGGTAATTTAAATGGATTCAACATTTTTTCAGATTCTTACTTTCATTCCCCAGATTGATGATATTTCTAAGATAATTGCAAACTGAAAAAAAAAAACTATTTTCACCTTTGTAGTTTTAAGTGTTGCATTGAAAATCAACTCCTAGACCATTACATCAATATCTGCAGTATTAATTTAAGTGAAATCTTAATTGGAAATTTTAGTTTGGGAGTGTCTCTAGATTCTAAGCAAAGTCATTTTATGATGGCTGGTCTTGCTACTGTGATTTGATCAAGTAAAATGTCATTATAGATTTAAGTAAATAAATATGGTTAAAATAAAATAAGGCCTGATATAATATCATATATGCTTACTGTAAAATCTGTTAACGCAACCATATTGATGCACATGATTCATACAGTACAACTGTGCATGGGCAGGTAATAGCAATGCAAGATACTGTACTTTAGAAATATGTAAGATACACAGTTTTGTGGACACATCAACCATCATTTTCAACTAGGCTAGAGCCAATCTAAAGTTTATATGGAAGATGATTTAAAGGTCGGCTTTAAGAATTATTTTTTAAAATTGACCTTTACAAAGGAATTTTTAAAACACTTTAGAAAGTTATCAGTATGATCTAGAGACAAAGAGACATGGTTCAAGGCCCAACACTGGTTGAAAATTAAGATGTGCCATCAGAATCTCTACGTCAGTGGATAAATAGACCTGTATTATAGCATTATAAAGTTCGAGCATTTTAATGGAATATTTTAAGGATAATTGAAAGAATATAAAAATATCTTTTTAAAAATGATGTCTCTATCAGAACAACCTCTGTGAGTCCAAGACACTGTTTAAACATTCTGTACATGAACAGTTTAAGGTTTAATCTCCACTAAACTGCAGGATTCTGAGATAGGGTCTTGTAGTGTGCATTATATCCTAGCACAGTAACAGTGTGCTTACTAAAGAATGCCTCACAGCAGTGGTCCAAGTCAGAAATGGTTAAATACCCAGATGAATAAAGGGAAAGAGTGTTGCTTTCCTTTGAAATCACAGGCTTTGTTTTACCAGATGACACATACATTAGTACTGATGTCAGTCAAGTGTGACTGTCAGCCATCTTCAGCACAATCAGAAAGGGATACTTCAGGGTTTAAGAAAACAAACAGGTAGAGGCTGTTAAATCAGTTCATCCACATTTGATATTGCACCCTTACCCTGATCATTATTTTGCATGCAGCTTCAGAATTGTGCAGTCCTTGAGAGTGGTTATTGTAATTCTAGCACCGTTAAGTCAATGTAGTTTATTTTTTACAGCAAAAAAATAACAGTGTCTCTGATGGCCTCTAATTCTCCAATGCCTTAGCAACCCTGAAGCCACCTAGTAGCTGGATTATAGACATCTGACAAGAATGCCCAGTGCTGTCAGTTTTTGTGATGTAGGGAATCCCATTCTATAATTGACAACATGTTGAGATGCTGAGAAACTAATCATTTGAGATCACTATCCACTCCCATGTTGGCCCTTGTAAGCCTTATGGACAATGGCTTGAGGGCAGATTCAGAAGAGTGGTGAAATGTAACAGTTTATTAACTGGATATGTTTACATCAGGGTATTGGCAAGTTACAACATTTATACTGATTGAGCAAAAATTAAAATATTGAGGTGTTTGGTGGCTGGTTATCCAAGATAATGATATATGATAATAATTGTAGCCTTGTTATTTCCAAAGTTTAAATTTCAATTATAATAAGGACTTAATGTTATGTTCTTCAAAGAAAATAATAGTTTTTTAAAGTTTGTGAATTGTAAGTGAAAACATGATCTGTATATCAGTCTATTCCTATGAAGTTCTTAGTTTTTCTTCATTGTAAAACTCTGATAATGTTTCACATCTAAAGTTAGCCATTATTTTTAGAGCTATAGGATTTCAGACTAATCTTGAAATTAACCTCTACATTTAAAACTGATTTGAAATAAATGTTTATGAACTTGTGAAACAGGAGGAATTAAGTAGAAATTTCAACATTGTACTGCTAGTTACAATCTTCAGACGGGCATCACCAGTGTGAGAAGAAAAAGCAGTGAGAAAACAGTTCTGTTTTTAAAAATGGACTGTTTCATTGCAGTCATAATTAATAGAAGTGTTGATATTGCCTTTTTCAAAATATATATCAAAAACCGTTCAAAATTATCATGATTAACAATTTAGTTTCTCATTTCTGTTATGTAAAATAAATGTGAATTTGACTTCTATCTTTGAGAAATATAATATTTCCATACAAAGTCAACACAATAGGATGCTTATCTAATTCATTTTACTGTACTTGTCTAATTGAGGATTTGTAAAGCGGAATGTAGCATTTGGTGGACAAAAAAATAGAAAAAGTGTTCACAATTCTTAAAATAGATTACTACAAAATAACCCAATCCCGCTAAAGAGGAAATGTGCCTTTTTAAAATGTATGGTAGTCTCTTTAATTTATGTAAACATATTAATACCCTTGTATATTACATTGCAAACGTATGTCAGCTGCCCTGCTTTTTCTATTTATTAAAATTTTTCAAGCAGTAAAAACATTTTACTTGTTAATGAGGGGAAGTGAAAAAATTAATGATATAGAGCTTGGATCCTCCAAGATGTCTCCTTTAACCATGCACAGCCAGCCTTTTTTTTCTTACTGAACATAGTTTAATTTCTGTGTTAAGGTTCAGTAAGCAAATGCAAATAGATTTAATGATTTGCATCAGTAGATCATTTCTCAGTTTAATATCCTTTGCTATTTTGGTCAAGGACTTTTTTTCATTTTGGAAGCTTCCACTATTTCCTAAAGCAAAAATTATTAATATTGGTAACATTAAGTTATGGCCAAATGAGGAGCATGAGAAATGTATCAAGCAGATACAGTACAAATGGTCAATCATCATTCCTATCCAGGTTAAAGATAAAGAGACAAAGACAGGAAAGGTATCAAGAGTTTATGGAAATGACTTGCTTTTATTGAAAAACATATCAGTAAGTTTAACTAACATTTTGTTTAAAAGGATTTTATTATGGTCATAACCCATGTTTGAATGTCAATCTGAATTGCTTCAATATGAGTGGAAATATTTTATTTGGAAGGTTTCTTGCCAGTCTTATGAAATGATATAGTCAACCTATATTATATCTTGTTTCTTGTTACACTATGTCAGCTTTAAGAGCCAACATATTTTAGTAATTGAACTTGATGATCAAAACCCCTAAAGGTGAATTGTCCTAGTGTGGTTTCAATTAAATAAAAACAAAATCAGCTGTTTTTGACAAAGCTTGAGGTGTAGTTGTGAATGTGAATGTTTTTAATTATTCATACATTTTAAAATCCAACAGTTTTAGGATAACAAGAGGAAAAAGTGACACTTTTAAGGATTAAACAATACAATTTTCTACATACCGCATAAATTTGCTTAGGTTAGTTAGCTTATTGTTTGCTGTTTATATGTTATGTTCCAGAGTTTTTTGTATGTTTTTAGGGGTTTTCTCAATAGCCACGAGAAAAATGCTTGATAGTCTTAAGCTCAGGAGGTATGTTGTTATTAGAGCCAGGAAAGACCATTTATTGCTTCATGGATTATTGTCTAATGAGAACCAATGACATTGTCAATTTTCCTGTATGATTAATAAATCTAAAAGCCCTTCATGAGTCAAATTATTAAAAAAAATATACTGAATTATTTTAGAGTAGAACAAAAAACATCAGTAGATCTTATTCTACAACTTTAACTAAGTTTTGCCTAAAGAATATCTAGTGTGGTTTTTTTTTCCGCTTAGGGGGATAAATATTAATTGGGAACAAATCCATGTAATTGCTATACTTTACAATCCCATTAACCAAAACAATCCAATGCCAATTTATTTGCACTTCTTAAGAGCACACAAGGCAAGGATACTGACATTAAACCAACCTTCTTAATAATATACTATATATCTGTTTGATGTTTTTTTCATACTAATTCCTTTCTAAATGACAACACATACACTTCTTAAAAATGCTAATATTTGAGGCAAGCACAAGAGCATTTCTGAGGATTTTGCAAGTACTTGACACAATTAAGATTTACAATGCATCAACTTAGCCATCATTCCCTTAAGTATTAATTTGAACTCTACCAATAAGAAACCGAACAAAAGTGGAAATATGAGTAGTATTCTATGAAAGGTCAATTGTTAAAAAGGCAGTGGCTGACATTATGTGAAAAAGGTGCCTACATTAATCATTGCAAAATTGTCATGCAAGGATTTTTTTGACCAATATATACTACCAAACCTTAGGATATTGTGTTTAAAGTTGTATTGTGCAAGTCTGTCACATGAAACAGTAGAACAAAAATATTCGATGTTAATCACGATTTCCTTTTGAATTTGCAAATATACGTGTGATCTGTAGTGTGTGTGTAATTGCACACGTAATTTAAATAAAGGGTCAGTTACTATGTTTAAGGTTGCTGAGATGTGTGAAGTAGAAAAGGCATTTTCAGCCTGCAGTTTTGTATAATAATTTAACAATCTGCTTAAAGAGTTTAGCAACATAGTCACAAGAATTGTTAATTATAAAAATTTTAAAAATGAAACTTGCATTGCTGGAATTGTAATTCCCAAATGTATTCTTTTGTTGCTTTTGTAAATTAGCTGAATAGCTAATTAAATGAATTTATAAATGGGTGTAAGGATTTTTATAATTCTAAGTGTGC